TACTTTTCTTCTTTGAAATCAGATTCCCTGTAGGTTTTCCCAATAGAAGGCACTAGAAACAGAAAAGTGGGGAAGGGATTTGCTCTTTCTTAAATGCAGTGCTCCAGCAGTCCCTCTTCACTCTGGCAACAGTATTTGATTCCATTTCCAGCCTATCTAAGCACACCCCAAACCAGCCACATCACACCCCTGGGTTAGAGGTCTGGGACACTGCAAAGTCCTTGCTCCAAGCTCCTAGATTCTAATAACACAACGTCCTCTTTTGTTCTCCCGGCCCCAGGAGTGAAAACTACTTCCTGTGTTACCTGTTTCTGTTTCTATCTTATTTCAGTGTCCTCTTTTGCCTTTTTTATTCCCCCAGTGTTTGTTTAACCAGTTTCTTATACTAAGTTCTCTCTGTTGAGATATCTGTAAGTTTCATTTTCCTGATGGATGCTGACACAGGTCATATAAATAAGTAAAATCATGAGTATAATATTCATAAATAAATAGAAATGTGAGTGCACTAAGCACAGTGCCTGACCATTTAGTTACTTAGTCAACATTAATTATTATAATATTAACAAAAATGACGATGAAAACAAAAGCAATATAAGTGGAAATCTAGATTATCTCTTCTGAGAATGATCTAATTACTGATGTGATATATTCAGGTTTATTAACTCAACTAGATTTTATTTTTCCTTCCTTATATTTTTTTCTTCTCTCCAATTATAATGTACTAAGGAGGAACTCTACCTATTCCACTGGAGTTCTTAAAGAGACAATTCACAGTTGTCTTTGGCATTGATTTTTTTCCACCCACAAGCAGCTCGGGACAGTCTGAACTGAGGCAGCCTCTTCCCCTCTACCACAAAGGACACCATATCCTGACCAAGAGAGAACCTCTTTTGAATCTATAATATCTTATTACTAGTGACTGTTTGGTTTTATCATTCTAGATTCTTCCTGAAACAAAATCTCCTGTATTTTAAATTAAGTCATATACCTTTTTTCCTTATTGTTATCTTGAGTTTTAGAATTAAAGGTCCTCCACTCTCTCTTTTTGGTGTACTTGGGAAATTATTTTGACCCTAGCATAGAGTATTCTCAATCATTGGGTTATTGAAGGATGAGCTGAATTCCTTCTTCTTATAAAAGTTGAAAAGCAAAACATTTCTAACACAGATCATGGATCAACCTATCTTTCCCTGCCAAATTTAGAATAAAATCACTGGAAAAAAAAAAAGACAATGTTCCTCAAGCTAGTCATCAAACTCGTACATCATATAAAATTCCTTAAATCAGTAATATTTAACCAATAAAATTCCTTAGATCAGCAATAGAAGAATAAACCTATTCTTCTATTTGGAAAAGACTGCATAATCCTATCACTTCTTTTCCCTGAATCTTTCAGTGACCCCTCACAGGTCAGAATACCTTGATTTTGTATTTGCTATAATTTAAAAACCCTTTCATTATCTTGTCCCTATCCTCATATATGATCTTGTCTCATACTATCAGCCTTAAACCCCAATTCTGTCTCTAAACAGCTACTTGCCTTTGGTCAAATTACGGCTCTTCTTCCCTCCACTTTTTTTTTTTATTTCTTGGCTTTTCATTTTTTTCTTATTAGTTGTTTTTCATGGCTCTTTTAAAATGAAATATTTACAGATTAAGCATCTCTACTCCAAAAACCCAAAATCTAAAATGCTTCAAAATCTGAAGTTTTTGTTCAAAACTTTCTATTTCAGTTAGTTGACTGAAATAGAAAGTTTAGAAGTGCTTAAACTTCAGAAATCAATATCTAAAAATTAAAAGACTTTTTTTGTTCATATGTTTAGTCCTTCCTTTCTTCGGTACGTCTAAAAAATCAGAAAATGTCAATGATATTGGTTCTTGTTTTGATTAAGCAAACTAGAAGTTTATAATCTTTCTAATCAAATGGAGAAAATGAGAAATAAAAATAGTGATACAGGATCATAGTAATATGTTATTTGAAATTTAAAAGTGAAAGAGAGGGAAAAAAGGAAGGAGAAAAGGAGGAAGGGAAGGAGGAAGATATGGAAGAAGTAAGAAGTCAAGGAAAAGAGAAATAAAAGTTAAAAAGTAAAATCTAACTCAAGATCATCTCCTCCATGAATCCCAGATCCTACGAAGCAAAACTAACAATCACTTGCTTGGGGTTTCCAAATTTTTTGCTTGTTTGTTTGTTTGTTTTCCATTTTGCCTACTTTGTGGAGAGCATATTATATACTAGTTGGCTGCATACCTTTCTTCTGTCATCATGGGTATCCTGTGGTCAAGAATCACGTCACATTCATCTTTATAAAACCAATGTATGCGTATATTCAATAAATAAATGCCGAACTGAAAGGAAACTATAACTGACAGAGATGACCAAAGATTACAAATGCCCTGGAACTGTTGCCTCCACTAGGCCTCATGCTGTTCAGTGGCTTGCTTTATTAATACCCAGAGACGTGAACCATTCTTAAGGTTTGCATGTTCTGGTACTCCTCACATAGATTGATTTCTGCGACTGATTCATTTAGCCTCCACTGGGTAAGGAGTAGAGAGGGTCTGAAAAGAAGATGTAACAGATCTGACCTCCTCTTTAGGAAGCTCACAATTTAAGAGGATTAAAAGTAGAAATTAAAATGTCTTTGAGATATATGTACCAACGCTATGAACAGAAATTTTTTGCTTTTTCTCCTCCTTCATTTTGCAGTCTATATAAAATGTTATTCTCATTTCCTAGTCTCCAAAAATTATCTGAATTACGATTCCCCAATCTCTACCTTGCTACTTTACCACCCATATCATTCCAAACATCACTGATCTGATCACTACTTAAAAAAAAAAAAGTGTGTAATTGCATCGTTGTCACAGACTTGAACACTCCAAAATGATTTTTCAATGGGCAGGAATAAGCCTTGGCCATGGTAATAATCCCTACCCAGGACAGCTCAAAGAGTAATGTTCATGTTAATACTCAAATAAAGTAATACTTATTTTAGTACTATTTAGAAGTTAGAACTTAGTATTTCTTAGTGTTCAATATTTAGCTTTATTTAATACTGACTCCTGAGTAATACTAAATAGGAGGCTAGTTTAAGAAGTGAAGAGGTTAATAGGAAGTGTAAAAGCTTTAATTCTCTAAGAATTCAGCAAGATTTTCCAAAAAGCGCATCTGCAAACTTTTCCTTTGTTCTTTCTCAAAGTCAGAGAGAAGACTATCTGCTTCAAGTTTCTGAACACTGGCTCACCTTCACTCAGTAGCCAATATTCCCATTTAATTACAATATCCTATTTCTGAACCCTAGTCACATTTACATATACATCTGATATATACATATTTGAGATATGTGCATACACACACACACACACACACACACACATGCACACACACACACACACACACACACACACACACACACACACACACACGGGAACAGCCTCCCCCAAAAAACTAGAATTATCTTTGGGAGGGCAGGCTCCTTGTAGTACAGGTTTCCTCTGCTAGATAAGTGTTCTAGGAACCCCCTGGCATCAGTGTACCAGCTAGTGTTTTTTGTGAGAGGCTGCATTTGGCTTCAGTGAATTCTTTTTTTTTTTTTGAGATTATTTCAATGTGTTTGCCCATTTCGTAATGGATGATTTACATGAAAAACCTGCCCATACCACACTGAGTGTTCAGCAGTTTTTAACCCCCCAAAATGGCATGATCCTCACGCCCCACCCTCCCTATTCATCTTGCACCAAGCAACTTTTTTTGTTTCCCCAATGAAAAACGTCCTCAAAGGGAAATGTTTTGCCAATGTGGAAGAGGCAACGACAAAAAAATGGCAGAAGCACTAAAAGCCATCAGAATTGATGAGTTCAAAAACTGTTTTGAGCAGTGGAAGTGTCTTATAAGAGGTGATGAACTGCATGGAATCTGTGTGATGAAACGTAAGGAAACTATAACCTCATATATTAAGGATGCTGAAACTGTGTGTTGTACCTCTCCCCTAAAACTTAGTAATTCTTGGAAACCCTGGAAGGAACACCATACTTGGGAGCGCCAAGCAACTATGTTAGATACGTTAACCAGCTTTCTCTGCTTCTGTAATCCCCACTGGCAGTGTGTGAGTGTTGTGCGATAAGCAACTTTCATATTCTAGCGGGCTTTTCTCTGTTTGAATTGTGGCGGGCAAGCCCTCTTCTGGCGGGCTTTGCAGTTGTTCAAATTTGAATTATAACAGCCTTGTGGATTAGGCAGGCTTTTGCAAATTTAAGAAAGGCCCCTGCCCCTGCCGCAGTGTGGTGCCCTTGCCTAAAGATTTGTGAGTCTGATGAGTGGCCCTGGCCAGTCGAACCTGGCTAATAAACCTCTCTTGGTAAATTGTATGTCGGTGCTGTGAATCAAACGCTTGGACCCCACATCAGTCTTGATAAGTGTTTTGCATCAAATGGAGAGTAAGCCGGGCTCGGTGGCTCAGCCTGTAATCCCGCGCCTTTGGGAGGCTGAGGTGAGTGGATTGCCTGAGCCCATGGGTTCGAGACCCGCCTGGGCAGGCGAGACCTCATCTCTACAATAAATCAAAAGATTAGCCGGGCGTGGTAGCATGCGTCTGTAGTTCCAGCTACTTGGAAGGCTGAGGTGGAAGGTTCACCGGAGCCCAGTAGGTCGAGACTGCGGTGGCCGGGAACGGCCACTGCACTCCAGTCTGGTCGACAGAGTGAGACTCCAACTCAAAAAAACAAACAAACAAACAAAAAAAATGGAGAGTAATTTGAAGGTGACAGAAGTTCAAACATGTAAGAATAAATACACACATTTTTATAAATAAATTCCAGCGTTTTTAAAAAAATCCCCCCTCATATATCCTTTTTCCTTATTTCAGCAGAGGACAAGGATGTCTTTCTAAAGGATGTCTTTCAGCCAACCTAGGTAGAAGAGGTCATGGAGTTTCAGAATAAAATAAAATAATGAAAAATCTGCCCTTCCACCAACATGGTTGTGTGGAGACACTTACATTGAAGTCATACAACACACCAAAGTTTGCTGCAGACGCCTCGTCAGCTCTGGGAACCGTTTTCCTAGGTAAACTGCCGTAGGGCAAACCCCAGAGGTACTACATGGAGAAACAAAGAAAGCAGTAAACAATTGGAAACAAAATCTGAGTCACACATGTGATCACAAATGGTTTTGTTTAAAAGCACTTCTGAAACATTTTCATGGGACTCTGCGGGTCTCTATGGGGAGGGGTCCCATTTTCTAGGAATTGACTACTAAATCCGTAGTGAAGAACAAAAGAAATGCTAAGGACCCTGTATTCTGAGTTCAGGGGACCACCAGCAGTTGGGCCAACCACAGTCCCCAAAGGCTTACTGAGGACCTCACAGCTGCTGCCACCTCCACACTGCTCTGATTTAGAGAAAGTCTGGAAAGGAGAGAGATAGCCCTTTGGAGTCAATGAAATGCTCAACAAAACCACCCTTCCCACATCTTCAAATGAGAATACCCCTTAGGGGTGAGAGTGGAGAAAGATTCTCTCCTTCAGGCAACGGATGAAAAAATTCAAGAAAAGAAATCATGTAATTTGAAGTATCTATAGGGAGGAAACACTTGCACCCTGATTACATTGTCTGTTTCATCACAAAGTCAGGATTAATGCCCTGAATTTGTGCTATCAAGTTAGGAGAGAAGCACACTAGGGGAAAATGGTGTTGGGGAGCAGTGGGCCAGTGAGAGGGGAAGAATAGGGTCATGAGAAGGTGCCTTGGTGAGAACTAGAAAAAGCACCTCTCTTGCCCTATAGCTTGCCAAACACATGTCCCCTGGGGCTGCGGGCAGAGGACCAATGCGGTTTGAAAACTGGGTGCAGAGTGTGACCCAAGACTCACTCACTGTCCACAAGCTGCACAATCTTCCACCATAGCCTTTTGGTCCCTCTGGTTTCCTGGTCCAAACAGAATACAAAGCAGTTCTACACATACTGTCTCACCCTAACGTTGAGGGGCACAGAGAGCAAAGAAGATTAAGGTCTCTGGCTCGTCCACGGACACAGGAGCTTGGGCCAAAAGGGCACAGGCCTCAGGGGAATGCTGGGTAAGGAGGCTGGGTAGAGTAAGCGGAAAAATGCAGCCTTGTTGCCAAGAAATGACTAGCCCTGCTGTCTGATATTCTGCAAAGTTAGTATGCAGGGTGCCCATTCTCTTTTGTTCTCTTGCTGGGATTGATAATCTCCTAGAAATCAGGATGGCCCTCAGCATTTGTCACAATCTATGAAAAAATATCCAAAGTCAGTATGCTTCCTAGCTCCCAGAATACATCCAAACACATATTCACTCCCTCCACTACATGGTAGACTTTCTGTAATTTCATATAGTTCAAAAAAATTAGTAACAGCCTCTCATTTCTTCCACATGGAGGCAGCATGGTGTGGAGGAAAGAGTAAATGCCGCTGATAAAACTCCATTTATACCTGCATCTGACACAAAGTAGTGTCATAGTACAACCGATGATGGAATGGAGGAGTTTCAGATTTCCTTAGAGGGATGAGCAAAAACAAAGCTGGGATTAATTTGAAATAGATGAAATACACACATTCTGCTGCATTGCCTGAAAGTGTTCACTTGGGAAATAAACTATACAGGACTTTTGATCTATGTTCACTGTCTTCTAAGAGCCAGACAGCCTTAGAAGCCCCAGAATCATCTCGGGGATTATAAAACAAGAGGATTAGAGTGCAAAATCTTGGGACAAAGGATAGCATCATGGGTCTTTGTACGAGATTAGCTTTGAAAAAAATTCATTCTGCGATGTTAGCTAAGTCACATAAGCATAGAAACTCCATTTCTATATGTCTAAAATAGGGGAAGAAAAACTCTTCTACAGTCTACTTTATACATTGACTGTGAAGCCCAATAAGTAAAAGAGGCAAAAGGGTTTTGTATTATTAATAGCTCAAACTTCCTTATGAATGTAAAACACTATTATTATTATTAAACTAATGGGGAGATTTAGTACAGAGACTGCCACCAATATGAAGCTATGGGGATGAAAAGTTCCTCAGAACACCACATTTTGGCTGTTGCCAATACTATATTGAACAAATTGGCTTGAAATACTGGTATCTAAAGGGCCCTTTGTAGGTTAAATAAAACCTAACCCAAATTTTTGTATAGTAAGCATTCAAAGAGATCAGTCATTTAATTTCATAGGGGTGAAGGCCCCACCCTCAGTCTGGCAATTTGGCCTCATCTGACCCTTTCCCCCACATCAGCTCAGGGATCTGTCTTATTTTCAGTGTGGATTCTCTCTCTGTTTTACTTTCTGATTTTGACTCTAAAAGCCCCCACCTCACTGTACGTATATACATATGTGTGTGTGTATATGTATGGGAAGTTATCTTACGTTATATCTGGAAAAAATGCTTATACTGTAATTTCTTCAGTATAGTAAAGTTGAATAATTTGGGCCGCATTAAGAAGCATTTCTTTTAAAGCAAACTTGACAAAACAGAGAAACACAACTTCTAAGATGTCAAAGCTTTCCTCTTGAGCGACAGTTTTTAGCATTTGGGCACCGGGACCAACTTGGGAATCTATTAGAAGCCATGAACCATTCCACATTAAAATGCACCTTTAAACATACACGTGAAATTTTTAATATAATTTTAAGAGGCTCACATACTCTTTGGTGCAAGGACCTTTGGCCCATGGAAACCATTTTGAAAGTTAACCTTGTTAAAAATCTCATGACTTTGAGAGGTAAATACAGCCTGTTCTAGGAGAATGATCAGACGAGCAGCTGTTTTTCAGTATGTTTTATAAACTGAAAGTCAGGTCTCACCTCCGGCAACATGATGAGGCTGAATGTCAGGATAAAGAGAACCATATTTACTCCATACATCCATCTCAAGAAGAGGAAGTATGAGGCCACTGAGGAACCAAACTGACCTATTACAAAGAAAATAAAAAGGTTGAAGGGAGGTCAAAACAAGAGTTTTGTCTTGGTGGCCCTCCAAAATAAATCTATTAATTGTGAGACATTGGTTCTTTTCACATTTACAGACTCTAGCATTCTCACTTCTCTACCCAGGAAGAGAAAATGTTAATCATGGTGGAAGTGTCCCCTGTCAAGTAGAATTAAGAAGGTATGTAGAATGTATTATGTAGACTACAACATGTGACCCACCCCTTCAGAGTCCATCCAAGGGAAAGCTGCCTTTTGCTGAGCAGCTGTGATTGCTACTTGCATAGCCTGTTGTATTTCTTGAGTTAATACTGATCAGTTAGCAAATATATGTAAAAGTAACTACAGTGCTTAGCCGGCAGTTAGCTACCATTATAATTATAATTATAATTACTGACCATCTCTCTCCATTTTTCCATGCAAACAATGTTCTTCTCAAAGAAGTTTACCACATCTTCTGTGAATGGTTATCTTACAGACTATCCTGTGCTGTTTACCCTCATTTCTGGCATTTTACAGGGACTGTGTGAAAGCTGAAATTAATTCATCCACTCCACATATCTTTACTAAGTATCTTCTGCCAGGAATTATCTTAGATATGAAGCACAATGTCACAGGTGTGGAAATGGCAAATATGTGAGATGTATATCCATATTTGTATCTAATATATACTTGTGTGTATACACACACACACACACACACACAATCACACACGTGTGATTGTGTGATATATGCGTGTGTGATTGTGTGTGTGTGTGTGTATGTGTGTGTACATATATACACACATAATAATAACCAGATAGGTCCTACAAGGGGGAAGTTAAAGTACTGAGAAGAGTTGCTTTAGATAGATTTGTCAAAGAAGGAATATCAGAGAAGATGACATCTGAACAGAAATTTGAAGTTTGAGGAAGCCCTAGCAACACCTAGAGCTGGAGAAGAATAGCTCAAGCAGAGGAAAGACGCAGAACAAAGATCCTGAGAGAGGCAAGGGCTTGAGACAATTGAGGAACAAAACTCAGTGGACAGAAAGGCCAAACCCCAGTGTGTTGTAGGGCCTCTTCTGGCAAAGTAGAGAGTGAAGACTTTATTTAAAATGTGAGAAGTCACTGACTTCTATTAAGCAGCAGGGCCAAAGGGAGGGGGATGGGCA